ATGAAATAAAATGCATTAAAATGTCTCCTGCCTGTGGCTTTGTGGCTCAGGAATTCACGAAGCCTTATCCGGGCAATCCTTGCTTGGGGAGTCCCGCGAGAGTGCAGTCAAGTGTTGGCTGGAGTTTGGTCACCTGAGCGTTCTTCAGGGCTGGATGTCCAAGACGACTCACTAAACACGGCCAACAGCTGGTGACGGTTTGGGCTTGAAGCTTAGTGGGGGTCATTGAATATGGTGCCTGCATGTGGGTTCTGAATTTAGCATGGCAGTCTCCTCGGGATGGCGTGTGTGTGTGTGGAGAGAAAGAAAAAGTCCGGCCAGTGCCTTCGTGTGTGTGTGTGCTGGACTCCTTATGGGGCGACTGTCTTCCTCCAGAATAAGCAACTCTAAAAGCCAGCTGGAAGCTGTGTGACTGTTCGTGACCTCACCTTGAAGACCATACAATGCCATTCCATCTGCTCCTTGTTGGTCAAAGCAGTCAGGGCCCCCTGAGGCTCGGGGAGGGGACATGGTGGCAAGGACACAAGAGATGGCAGTGAACCTCGAACAATGCCGACCAGTAAGGCACCCAGTGATGCCTGGGAACACCGAATGCTCTCCTTGTCTCTAGGCAGATTGAGGTCTGAATCAGGAACCTGTGCCGTTTTCCCAAGAGCCGAGGAGTGAGCATGGTTTGTGCAGCCCTGGGCAAGCACACGAGGCATGACGCTTTGCTCCAGCCTCGGCGACGTTCCGAAGGTGAGAAGGTCCCGTTTTGTGCTTTGAGCTCACGGTGGATCTTTTCATGCATTCAGCCAACGTTTGTGATCACCATTGTGTGCCCGGTGCGAGGGGCACAGTAGCGGAGAGAACAGGGCTCCTGACCTCCTGCAGTCATAATAAAATATCCGCACACACATAAAAGTGCAACCGTGACAAAGCGTGCAAACCGTGACGAAGGAGGAGTTCTGTGAGAGTGTGTGCAGAGGTTTTTGTTTAAGGAACTCAGGAAAAGGTTCTCTGACAGATCGATGACTCGGCTGAAATCTCAGGAATGAATGGAACTTACCCAGGAGAGGGCTGAGGAGAACGCTGAGCCAAAGGAGCCCGTGAGAAAATGCCTTTGGACAAAGAGCCAGTGAGAGCAGCACAGGGACTGGAAAAGCCGGGAGGGAGCTGAGGAGCAGGGACACAGACTTGGTGGGGGTGCTCCGAGGCACCTGGGGTCGGGTGCTGTGGCGCAGCGGGTTAAGCTGCCGCCTGCGATGCCTGCATCCCACCTGGTATAGGTCCTGGTTCCTTTGATTCCCATCCAGCTTCCTGCCAATACACTTGAGAGACAGCAAATTATGGGTCAAGTTCTTGGGTTGTGGTAGAATGAGAAGGCCATGCCAAGATGGCTGTTGGCAACATAAACTACCTGGCAACAGGCTGTGATTGGATGGCTTCAGAAACCACATGACAGCAGAGCCTAACTGACAACAGGCTGTGATTGGATGGCTTCGGAAACCACATGGCAATGGAGCCTGCCTGGCAACAGGCTGTGATTGGATGGCTTCAGAAACGACCTGGCAACAGGGTGTGATTGGTTAGGGGATAGACCGCCCCTTGACTGGATTGGCTGCCTTGGCTATATAAGCTGCTGTACCAACTGAAATAAACGAGTCTGCAGGCTGCTTGCCTCTGGCCTGCTTTGGGTTCCAGACACTCATGTAGGAAACCAGATAGAGTTTCTGGCTCCTGGTTTCTGCCTGACCCAGCCCTGGCCATTGTGGGCATTTAGTGAGTGAACCAGAGTTCTCTCTCTCTGTCTCTGTCTCTGTCTCTTTCTGTGTGTGTATATGTCCCTCTTGGTTTTTTTTTTTTTTTTATTTTTTTGCCACTCTGCCTTTCAAATAAATAAGTAAATAAATATATTTTAAAAAAAGACTTACTCTGTTCTTTTCTAATAGTCATTAATTATCCCAATTTCCATGGGTCAGAAATTCAGGCACAAAAACTGAATCTTCTCAAAAATTGTGCAATCCAGGTGTTGGCCACGATGGGAATCTCATGGGTCTCAATCAGGAAGATCCACTCACAAACTCACAACGTGGTAGCAGAGCTGTTTCTTAAAAAAAAAAAAAAAAAGAAAGAAAAGAAAAGAAAAGAAAAGAAAAGGAAGGAAGGAAGCTTACTTTTTTTCATTTGGCGGGCAGAGAGGTAGATCTTCTACCCACTGGTCCACTCCCCAAATGCCCACAACAGCCAGAGCTGGGCAGGCTGAAGCCAGGAGCCAGAGCTCCATCTGTGTCTCCACGTGTGTGACAAGGACCCGAGTACTTCAGCCACTATCTGCTGCCTGCCATGGTGAGCACAGCAGGAAGCTGAATCAGAAGCAGAGTAAGCAGCACTCGACGGCGGCAGTCCCATACGGTTAGCAATGTCCTGAGCAGGGACGCCGACCACGGTGCCAGACGCCTGTCCCAGAACTCAGTTCCTTTGCAGACTCAAGGACTGAGGGGGAGAGAGGGGGAGAGGGGGAGAGGGGGAGAGAGGGAGAGAGGGGGAGAGAGAGAGGGAGAGAGAGAGAGAGAGAGGGAGAGCGGGGGAGAGGGAAGGAGAGGGGGAGAGGGAGGGGGAGAGGGGCAGAGAGGGAGAGAGGGGGAGAGAGAGTGAGAGCGGGAGAGGGGGAAAGAGGGAGAGAGAGGGGAGGAGAGAGGGAGAGAGGGAGAGAAAAGGAGAGGGGAAGAGGGGGAGAGAGGGAGAGAGAGAGGGGAGGAGAGAGGAGGAGAGAGGGAGAGAGGAGAGGGGGAGAGGGGGAAATACCTCGACAGAGCAGTGGGCGTCTCGGGACAAACAGCTCGCCGTCTGTACGCAGACTGGGGTTATACGGGAATGGGGTCCAGTTCTTCCTGCTGCCCTCACCCCTGTTCCTGGACAAAGGGTTTTCTGGGTGTGAGGTAAGACGCCTCCCGAGGGTATCAGACCGGGTAGCCCACGTGGTAGCCACCAGGGTCCGGGCAGGACTTTGCCATACTGGGCTGCCTTCCACACACACCACTTGCAGCAGAGGGAATCTCGCGGCCACCTCAGGGTGTCCCCCACAGGCGGCCCTGGGACGGAACAGAGGGAAGCGCCGGCCCTGCAGGGAGGAGCAGAGAACGCGCTTCGGTGGGGTACGTGTCAGCTCAGGGGCTCCTGAGCCGTCCGACGGCTCCGCACTTATGCGAACGCGTGGGTCTGGAAGTGGAAGGAAGTTTGCGGCGACAGGTCATGTTCGGGGGGTGGCAATTCTGGCCAGATGGGGGAGATCACCCAAGGAGAGCACCCCGACTCAAGTCCTAAAGAAGCCCATCCGTTAGCGGTGGGCAGAAGCTGAGCCCACGGGAGACGGCGGCAGAGCAGCTAGCACATCGGGGAGTGAGGTCCCAGGAGCCAGAGGCCAGCTGGCAGAGGCGCTGGGGTCGGGGTCCACACGCGCTCAGGACTGCGCCCAGCGGAAGCGGGGAGTCCCGGGCCGGCAGAGCAGAGACGGGTGACGCGAGGTGGAGGTGGGCAGAGCGGGCGAAGTAAGGAAACGCGGGCCACGCGTACTGTTGCTTCAGTCCTGCTGCTGCCAACGTGCAGATGAGAGGCGTGGGGGCGCCCGCCGCGAACACGCGTGTCGTCCGACGAGCCGGCGAACGCTCTGCGTCAAGGGAGCGCCCGTACCCCGGGGCTCCTGCTGGATCTGGGGACGGCTTCCGGAAGGGGGCACCGGCATAGGCGTGATGGTGCCGCGGGAGGGCCGGGCGCCAGCCAAGCCTGCCACTGGTGGGCGCAGCGGGCACTCGGTAGCTCGCTGGGGACTCGCGTGGGCATGTCCACGTCTGCTTGGCGGGGTCTCCTCTTCCCACTGTTAGTGCTGGGCACTCGTCTCTGCTCCTGATCTCTGATCCTGATGCTTTGTCGGCGAGAACGCCAGGCCCGCTCCCGCCGTCAGGGGTCCCCCCCTCGCCTGCTGCCCCTCGGACCCGGCGGTGGCCAGGTCAGGGGACGCCTGCTGGCCGTCCTAACGCCAGGCCGGGTCGGCTGCCCCGGCGGAGCCGACGCGACGCCCAAAGCCCCTCGAGGCCTTCCCGGACAGGAGGGGTCGCGACGGGGGTCCCGGAGCGCGGACACCCCCTTCCGGACGGGCCTCCTCCGCCAGGGACGCCACGGCCCCGACGGAGGGCGGGAGCGGACGCGGGAAGCAGGGGCAGCCCGGAGCAACCCCGACGCGCGTGCGCGAGCCCCGCCCCTCCCGCGGCCCCGCCCCCGCGCGCGCGGGACTCTGGGGCGGCCGCGCAGCGTCGCGCGCCGATTGGCGGCGTCCGGGGCCGCCCTCGGGTGACTGACGGCGCCCGGTTGCCCCGCCCCGCCCCGCCGCCCCGCCGCCCCGCCGCCGCCGCCGCCGCCGCCGCTGCCGCCGCCCGGGTGTGGAGCCGGCCGCGCTCGCGGGCTGCGCGTCTGCCCCGCCGCCGCCGCCGCCGCCGCCGCCGCGCCTCCGCCATGGACCTGTTCGGGGACCTGCCGGAGCCCGAGCGCTCCCCGCGGCCGGCTGCCGGTAAGCGGCATCGCGCCTGGGCGGCGCGGAGGAGGAGGAGGAGGGCGGGCGGCGGCGGCCTGAGGCGGGAGACCGCGCGGCGCTGCCAGGCCGGGACCCTCCCGGAGCCGGCACCGCGCTCCGCCATCTTCGCTGCGCGGGGAGGCCGCCCGCGAGGGCTCGGCCCGGGCCTGGGCGTGTGCAGCGGCGCCGGCCGCCCGTGCTGGGCGAGCCCACGCGCGCGCGGCCGTCACCCGGTGCAGTTCGGCGAACCCTGGGTCTTCTCGGGCGAGCCGTGGGGCCGGACCCGAGCGCAGCCCGGAGAGCCTGGAGCCGGGCCTCCGCCCCTGCGTGAGGGCCGGGGCCGGGGCCGGGCCGGGCCGGGCCGGGCCGGGCCGGGCCGGGCCGGGCGGCGGGAGGCGGCGGGAGGCGCCCGCACGCCTGGCCGAAGTTAGGTCCGCAGGGTGCCGGCGCCCCGCGCCGCGGACAGGCGGGCGTGGTGGCGGCGGAGCGCCCGGGCCAGGGCCTTGGGGGAGCCTCGGGCCTCCGCGTCGCCCGCGCGCAGCCGCGGGTGTGCGGGAGCCGTGCGTGGGCAGCCTTCGCCGGGCCGATTGCAAGTCCTCTCTGCCCGCTGCTCCAGCAATGGCGCGGCGGCTCCGCTGGCACAGAAGCGTGGAAGTAGCTGCTCGCCCGCTGTGGATCTGCCTTGGGCCCACGCGGTTGTGGTCGCGGGTGGGAAGGGTCTGTGCAGGCAGCCTTGTCGGTGGAGCAGAACCTGCGTCTCGGGGCGCAGTGTGCATCCACTGGCGTGCCCGTAAGTCTAGCACTTTCATGGTGTGCATGGGAGATGTGTTTATTTGAAAGAACGACACAGCGTGTGACAGGGATGGAGGTGTCTGCTGTCTGGCTCACTCCGCGGATGCCCACGAGAGCCAGGGCTGGGCCAGGCCAAAACCGGCAGCCCGGGCACTGCCCACCCCTACCACGAGGTTGGCAGAAACCTAGGTACCTCCCGGGCACCGTAACAGGAAGCTGGGGGGAAGCCGAGCGGCTGGGCTTGGCACTGGCCTCCCCTGTGGGATGCGGTCTCCTGTGCCAGCTTCGCCCCCTGTGCCACAGCACCCTCCCCCTGTATAGTTCAAAAGTCTCCATTACTTTTTACTTAAAATTAATTTGAGTCTGCCTGGGGAAGTTCCTCTTGACATGACAAAAACCTAACAACTCAAAGTTACAGAGAGAGGGAGAGAGAGACAGGTCTTTCATCTCTTGGTTCACTCCCCAAGTAGCCTTAATGGCCAGGGCTAGCCAGGCCAAAGCCAGGAACCGGGAGCTTCTTCTGGGTCTCCCATGTGGGTTCAGGGGCCCAGACACTTGGGCCATCTTCCACTGCTTTCCCAGGTACGTTAGCAGGGAGCTGGATCGGAAGTAGAGCAGCCAGGACTTGAGCCGGTGGCCATGTGGGATGCGGGCATTGCATATGTGGTGGCTTTACCATTGTGCCACGGCGCCGGCCCCTCAGAGTTGCACAGGTTGGCACCTAGGTTGCCACCAGATACAGGAGGGAGGGCATACCTGGCCAGTTGTGTAGTCTAAACTCTGCTCCAGAGCCTGGCTGAGGTGCGAGGGTGTAGAGGGGCTGCACCTTCCCCCGAGGGGCGTGAGTGAACGGCCGCCTGCCCGCTGGGAGGGTCGCAGGCCCCGCCTGGATGCGGGTCGTTTTAAAAACAGCTTTAAAACAAAACATGCTTTCAGACTCAGAGACCAGAAACTGAGGGCTTGGAACTAAAATGAATGACGGGATTGGTATCCAAAGTTTTCCTGACCGCTAGCTGCAGTCAGTACGGTGAGACTTGACAACTTAGAAGATCATTTGAACGAGAACAGAATCTGGTTTCACATTCTTGTGAGAATTATGATTTTTTATTTTTATTTATTTGAACGGCAGACAGCCAGATCTTGCATCCGCTGGGTCACTGCTGTCCGCAGCAGTCAGGCTAGCCCAAGCTGGAGCTAAGAGCCCCCCACCGTTGGGCCTCCCCCGTGGGTGGCAGAGACCCTACCACTTGTGCTGCTTCCCGAGGTGTCCATCCGCGGAAGCTGGAATCAGAAGTGGAGTCGGGATTTGAACCCAGCGCTCCAGAGTAGGATGAGGGCATCCTGAGTGACACGGTACTGCACCAGCTGCAGGGCCATTGTGATTTTCTTTCCATCCGCTGCTTCACTCCCCACATGGCCACAACAGCCAGAGCTGCGCCGATCTGAAGCCAGGAGCCAGGAGCATCCTCCAGGTCTCCCACGTGGGTGCAGGGGCCCAAGGACTTGGACCATCTTCTACTGCTCTCCCAGGCCATAGCAGAGAGCTGGATCAGAAGTGGAGCAGCTGGGACTCAAACCGGTGCCCATATGGGATGCCGGCACTGCAGATGGTGGCTTTACCCGCTACGCCACAGTGCCAGCCCCCTGTTGTGAATTTTCTAAAAGTTTATATGAAAGGGAGTATGACACAGAGATAGGGAGATATCAGTCTTCCATCCACTTGTTCACTCCCCAAAATACTGGAGCCATCACCTGCTCCTGGTAGGGTGTGTATGGCAGGACACTGGCCCAGGTGCCCCATCACAGCCCAACCCACTGCAGCATAATGCCTGCCGCCCACAGTGATTTATTTATTTATTTATTTATTTATTTATTTATTTATTTTGACAGGCAGAATGGACAGTGAGAGAGAGAGACAGAGAGAAAGGTCTTCCTTTGCCGTTGGTTCACCCTCCAATGGCCGCCGTGGCCAGTGCACTGCAGCCGGCGCACCGCGCTGATCCGATGGCAGGAGCCAGGTGCTTCTCCTGGTCTCCCATGGGGTGCAGGGCCCAAGCACTTGGGCCACAGCAGAGAGCTGGCCTGGAAGAGGGGCAACCGGGACAGAATCTGGCGCCCCGACCGGGACTAGAACCCGGTGTGCTGGCGCCGCAAGGTGGAGGATTAGCCTATTGAGCCGCGGCGCTGGCCCACAGTGATTTTTTTTTAAAGGAATTTATATACCATACTATTTTTTTTTTTAAGATTTTATTTATTTGAGAGTTAGAGTTACACACAGTGAGAGGGAGAGACAGAGAGAAAGGTCTTCCATCTGCTGGTTCACTCCCCAGATGGCTGCAACAGCTGGGGCTGTGCCGATCCAAAGCCAGGAGCCAGGAGCTTCCTCTGGTCTCCCATACTTCCTCAGGGTCCAAGCACTTGGGCCATCTTCCACTGCTTTCCCAGGCCACAGCAGAGAGCTGGATTGGAAGAGGACAGCCGGGACTAGAACCGGTGCCCATAGGGGATGCTGGTGTCACAGGCAGAGGATTAACCTACTGCTCCACTGCTTCAGCCCCCATACTTTGTTTTGATAAATCCTATTGATCACTTGGAAGGAAGGACAAGGCCAAACTGTTTCCATTCTTTCTCCCTCCCTCTTTTCCTTCTTTCCTTTTTTTTTCTTTTTTAAGATTATTTGAGAGGTAGAGTTATAGACAGTGAGAGGGAGAGACAGAGAGAAAGATCTTCCTTCCACTGGTTCACTCCCTAAATGGTCACAATGAATGGAGCTGCACCAATCAGAAGCCAGGAGCTTCTTCTGGGTCTCCCATGTGGGTGGCAGGAATCGAAGTACTTGGGCCATCTTCTGCTGCTTTTCCCAGGTAGCTGGATTGGAAGTAGAGCAGCTGGACAAGAACTGGTGCCCATATGGGATGCCAGCATTGCAGGTGGTGGCTTTTCCTGCTAGGCCACAATGCTAACCTTGATAAATGGTTTTTTAATTCTCGTGAGAAGCAGGGACTATAAATTTGTGCTAATTCAGGGAATAATAAAAGACCTAGTTCTTTTCTTTCTTTCCTTCTTTCTTATGATTTATTTATTTATTTGAAAGTCAGAGTTACATAAAGAGAGAGATCTTCCATCTGCTGGCTTACTCCCCAAGTGGCCTCAATGGTTGGGGCTGTGCTAGGCTGAAGCCAGGAACCAGGAGCTTACTCCAGGTCTCCCACATAGGTAGCAGGATCCCAAGGACTTGGGCCATTTTGGCTGCTTTCCCAGGCCATAGCAGGGAGCTGGATCAGAAGTGGAGCAGCAAGGACTTGAACCAGCGCCCATATGGGATGCCTGCTGCAGGTGATGGTTTTACCGTTTATGCCATGGTGCCAGCGTGAGACCTGGTTATTTTTACAATTCCCAGGAAGACTCAGGAAGTGAAATGGGGATGTTTGGTTTCAAATCTAGCCTTTACCTATTAACTCTACCTTCTCGGGCTGTTCCTGCATCTGTAAAGGGTGCTGTGTGGACAGGAGCGCACAGCACCCTGCAGAGCACAGAGAAACTGTTATCTACACATGAGCTGTCATCTGAGCTGTCAGCTGTGACAGCTGTTAAACAGGAGAGCAGGGCCGGTGCTGTGGCGTAGCGGGTAAAGGTGCCGCCTGCAGTGCCGCATCCCATATGGGAGCCGGTTTGAGTCCTGGCTGCTCCACTTCCGATCCAGCTCTCTGCTATGGTCTGGGAAAGCAGTAGAAGATGGCCCAAGTCCTTGGGCTCCTGCACTCGCAGGGGAGACCCGGAAGAAACTCCTGGCTTGAGATCGACACAGCTCTGGCTGTTGCGGCCAATTGTGGAGTGAACCAGCAGATGGAAGACCTCTCTCTCTCTCTCTCTGCCTCTCCTTCTCTCTGTATAACTCTGACTTTCAAATGAATAAATAAATCTTTAAAAAAAAATTAGAAGGACAGCAAACAACCCTAAAAGTGTTTCATAAAAGCACCCAGTCGGGGCTGGCACTGTGGCATGGAGGGTTAAGCCGCTGCCTTGTTGCTGGCATCCCATACGGGCACCAGTCCAGAAGAGCTCTCCCCGCAGGATTCAGCTTGGCCCAGCCCTGGCCGTTGCAGCCATTGCGGCCATTGCGGCCATCGCGGCCATCTGGGGAGCGAACGGGCAGATGGGAGACCTCCTCCCCCTCTCTCACTGTGACTCTGTCTTCATAAAATAAACCTTAAAGAAAGAAAAACATCCAGTGTCCAAGAAGAAGGTCCCAAATTAGTGGATTTTGTTCTTTTGATTTTTGTTTTTAGTATGTCGCCTAATGTTCTGACTCTCAAGCCTCTTAGATTTTTATGATCTAGAAAGAATGCATTAGATGCTTCCAGTCATTGTGCTAAAGTAGTAGTTTACATTCCAGTCCTTACAGGCTTTGGTTGCTGAGTGAATCAAACTTTCATAAATTAAAAGATGATTTCCCTAAGAGAAACAGGCTTGTTCATGGGACTTTCTATGTCATGCCCTTAAAAATGCTCTAAGATGGACAACCGTACTTCATAATTCATACGTTATTTAGAGGTGTCTTGATTTTGGGTCGGTGCTGTGGTGTACCAGGTTGGGCCGTGGCCTGCGGTGCTGGCATCCCTTATGGGTGCTGGTTCGTGTCCTGGCTGCTCCACTTCTGTTCCAGCTCCCTCCTGGGGCATCTGGGGAAGCAGTGGAGGATGGCCAGGTTCCTGGGCTCCTGCCACCCTTGTGGGAGACCTGGAAAAGGGCCTGGCTGTGGCAGCCATTTGGGGAGTGAACCACCATGTGGAAGGTGACTCTCTGTGTTTCTCCCTCTCTCTGTAACTCTGCCTTAAAAAAAAAAGTGTCAAGAATTTTCAGCCGGCACCACGGCTCACTAGGCTAATCCTCAGCCTGCAGCACCAGCACCCCGGATTCTAGTCCTGGTCAGGGCGCGGATTCTGTCCCAGTTGCCCCTCTTCCAGGCCAGCTCTCTGCTGTGGCCAGGGAGTGCAG